ACAGATTGTGTACGGCAGGATGATAACAGACAACGTTTGTGCCTTAATTTCTTCCAAAAGATCAATTCAAACGGCGATAATAAACTCAATCCGCTCATACCTAATTCTAGGCTCAGCGAACATGGTCGACCACTTCGTAACTCTGATAGTCTTTCAATTTTTAAATGTAGTACGAACCGATTTAAGCGCAGTTTTTTCCCAGCGCTAACTCAATATTCTAACAATATCTATAGTCAATTATAATAGACGTTTATAATTTGTCTTAATATTTAACGTATGTAAGACAAATAGTATATATACAAATAGTCAATATTCTAACAATATCTATAGTCAACTATAGTAATTCATAACTTGTCTTAAAATTTTAATGTATGTAGGACAAATAGCAGTATATACTTAAAGTATCCTATTATGTAAATATAAAGTATTTCACCTTGGTGCAATTTTATATATTTAATAAACCTTTAATATTAATAATAATAATAATAATAAATTCATTAGCAGGCAATGTGCCCAAATGCACCCTACTTTAGTGTAACTCTGTCTAACGCCAGACAATTTTACTTGTCAGTGGTAGAGTACTGGTGGTTAATGGGACAACAAACCTATCTGCCCATGTCTCTTGTTAACTCATTAGCGGGCATTGGCACTATGTGCCGAAATGCTCCCTACTTTAGTATTTATTCTGTCTAATGCCACACAATTTTACTTAGCAGTGGTAGAGTATACTGGTGGTTAACCCAGCCTTTATGTGGCAATGCACCTCGAAATTGCACCCTACTTTAGTATTTACTCTGTCTAACACTAGACAATTTTACTCGTTAAGTGGAGAGTGCTGCCACTCAATTATGGGTTAGCTCAATTATGGGTTGCATCCTCTTAACCCTTTAAGAGGCAATGCACCTTACTTTTAGTTAGTATTTTAATTACTCTGTCTAACGTCAGAGTATTTTACTCTGTCTAACGCAAGACGATTTCACGCGTCATCGGCAAATGGAGAGAGCTGCCACTCAATGGGTTAACAAACCTATTTGTCCATGTCTCTTGTTAACTCATTAGCGAGTAATGTGCCCAAATGCGCCCTACTTTAGTATTTACTCTGTGTAATGCCATACGATTTTATTTAACAGTAGTGGAGCACTGGTGACACTGGTTAAATTATATGACTCTTGCGCCCCACATTACATTTTTACTCTGGCTGACATTTTTACTTGCCAAGGCTAAACGAGTCTAGCACAGTTCCACTATATATTGATAATCCAATTGGAAATTGTGCATTTAATCGTATGCAGATACACTACAAATAAATAAATGAATGCATGCAATCGAACTAGCTGGACAACACGTACAGCCGTTTCCATGCTTTTTAACCTTATCTAATGCTATGAAATTTTCATCAGCTCGATCGCATTTCAAACAGCACTATTTACAACCTCGTTCCCAGTGTCTCACCTCCGCTCACCCCCTGCTCCGGAGAGACCCTGGTATGGTGTGGTCACGTGAGTAATGACCACGTGCTTTACTTATGCAGTAGGGGTAGCAAGGGTAGCATGATTGAGCACTTATTAATTAACTAAAAATAGCAAATGTATATTAGAACAAAGAGTATTTTAAACCATATTTATCACCTAAACTATAAAGGCTGTCGAACTGTAATAAAGCCAGGTACTGAGAGTAGAGAAAGAATCACATCAGGAATCTATCTCGTCATTGATTTTGAAAGTTCCTTTTTAGCAGTATGTCAAACTCGGTTGTGCTATAAACCTATTATTGACCCTATTGTTGTCATTATAAATTTTGCAATACCAATAATTACACTAAAATTATTGGTGAGTGAAGAAGAATCGTTACAAACACTTTATCGTTGGCCCTCTACTGTTTCTTGTGTATATTAAATAATGACCTGACCCAGAACGTGTATGTTTGTTTTCTGTCGTGAATTGTCTATTATTTCTCCTTTAGGTAAAACCGATATCGGTTTAATCTTTTACAATATATATAATATTCAACAAAGACTAAGTACAACATGTGGATGACTTCTCTTGCGCTATATATATGCAACTCGGATAATTGTACTAAAATAACTTTGTCGATGCTTTGGTATAAGGTCACAAAATACATGTACAGTCATACATGCAGAGTTGTAATTTATTAAGCATGTAATATGAAGGCAAATATAGAGCCAGCACATACAACAAAACGAACATGTAAATATTTTGAATCGTGATTGACATAAAACCTATATACTATACCAATGGCAATGGGCAATGACAGAATCAAATGCCAATTTGTCAAACATCTGTATGAATTGAGACGCGTATACCAAAATGATATAATACGCGAACATTTATTTACACAAAACTACATGGACGTTTATAAAATATATATAAACACGTACCGTTAGCACTGCATATCTTCAATTTATGTAAAGGTAAGAGTTCATAGTTGATAAGCTTATTTAGAAAATAAACGACTAAAATGTATCATTTTATTTTGACAAATACATCTGATCTGTGCTATATTAATATATACGAAGGATGGTTTTTAAAAATCACAATGTATTTAAAATGATATCACTGCGATCAGTGACCACATATATTTAGCAAGAAACAGACAACAAGAGTCTAAATCACTGGTCTAAATGCCGCGAACCATATTATATACAACGTTTTTTCGTAGTGTAATTGGTTTTATTTCAAATATAGAACTTCGAAAACAGCCAAACGCGATCATTAACTAAATTGACAAGTTCTATTATTTTTAATAATGACTGTAGTTAATAACTTTGCCCCACGTACCCACCCTAACGACAAATTACGCTATATCCCAAAATCTGGGATGTCACGTGACCATACCCGAACAGAGTCTCGTCGGAGCCGGTGTTGTTGGGGGTGGGGGGATGGAGATGAGACCCTGTAAAACAGGTTGCACTATTCACAGCTCTGAATTGGCTCCCACTCACAACTACATGTAGGCAAAAAAGTTACACTACCTAGAACCTGATGCAAGTCTTTAATAACAATGGGTTAAGTTCATGTTTGATAGTGCCTAAATCATTTATACACCTACAGTGAAATGGTTAGTGCAATGCAGCTGAGTGCACCCACACCTGTTTTATTTACTTTGCCAAAACAAATCTATAAACATATTTTTAAATAAATTGCTCTTGCTCATTTATAAATACAAGTTACTAGAGTGTTCCATATTAAAATTATAAATGAAAGAGCATAATATGCATGAGCATAGTACAATTCAAGACAGTGTGAAGTTTTATAAGTTGCTTTTGTCACGTTTTGTGGGTTATAGGCCGATTTTGATTTGATGTATTTCATTTCAATTTATAGTTTGAAACACGTTGGCATACCATCTGCAGCTAACGACATACCTTTGCAAGCTAGTGAAAAAGTTCACAATTTGTAGACCTTTGAAGGGGACATTTTATATTAAACACTTCTTCGCTTTGCTCCATATCAGATGCCAAAATACTTTATAAATCTTAAAATACGCTTTTGCGTGTTTGAGGTGTTTCGATGTGGCAGCCATCTTGATTCTTTATACGAAATTAATTTTATTTTTTTAATAATATTAATGAACGACTGAACACGTTTAAACTCGTTACTTGACATGAATTAATCGGAGTTTGTGCTGTTTTATAGTGTGCCGTCTTTTGATCTTTATGCCGCTAAATAAAGTTTTATGAGCAAGCAAACCGCAAACGCAACGAAACTATAAGCAACGAATCACAAATGACGAATACCAAAGCAAAATATGTTGCCGAGGAAAAAACTAACGCTGTATAAAATGTGACCAAATTGCCTTCCGTACAGTTGATTGAAGGTCGTAAAAAATCTGATTACAATGAAGCAATGTGAAACCATACATGCATAATCAAATGCTACTTCAAAGTGTGTTGTCGTTGACAGTGCTGCCATGAAAATTGGCGACGCAAGTAGTTTTTTTTATATTTTTTCTTTTCTAAAAAGCATTTTATTTACTTGTTAACTACTCCAGTTTGCATTTTCAAATGTTAAATTAAGATAAAATTTTGTATATTCAGGTTTTTTATATGGTTCGAAATGGTTTCGTCTGATATAAAAACATTTTTTGTATTTCTTGCCTTCCCGCAGGAAACATGGCTAGAAATCTGCGATAACATGGCCGACACGCACGCTTAGCTCCTTTGTAATGTAAATATTATGTGAATAAGTTTAATAACCAGAAAAGCATTACGTTAACTTGGCTTTTCGGCTTTTGTTGGTCCAACAAACCAAATATGACGATTCCATAAATCGATCTTGAATGATAATCGTCGTAGCTACGTATTTGTTCACGTTTCAGTTCAAAATTCGATGCAGGCTTTGTTCCCGAAGCAAAACAATTTTGCAGTAATTTGCACATATAATCACGCGCACTTTACCAGTAATCCAGGTTATTTTCACAACGAAACACCATAATCGCTTCAGTTTTCAGACTGATCGTACATCAACATTGGATTTCCATAAATCGTAATCGATACACTTTGTTCTCCCCATGAATTTTATCACAATTTTATCTAAAGATATTATATCAATACTGTTCCCAAGCAGGGGAAAGAATGGTATATTTTGCCTCTATTTTCCATTTTAAAATCGCCTTGTTACTTCGCTAAAACGCGATGCAAGCACATCGAAATTTTGCTTTTTTTCATATTCTTGTTCGTGATTCATATTCTATAAAGGTGAGATAATATCAGCTAGTGACATAAAATATTAAATGTTGGACATAATTATGTCACTGACATGATTTACTTATCATTTAGCTATTGTCCATTGTCCAACAGTTTTAAAAAGTCATTTAAATCATTTGTCTAGTAAAACAAGCGAGGAGTTCTCAATTTCCGTTCTTTTTCTTTTCCGACAACTAATAAGTCGCTCCACAGGATAATATAAAGGAGTTTGAAGTGTTTGCTGACGAGAAGGAAGCATGTCTTTATTGGGCATATACATTTAAAGAGCGTTTCTTTACGTACTTTCCAGCTTTTCAATATGTTCATTAACGTGACGTACTGACGGTGCGTGCGCCTGCATTACAAACCGCTGACTGTCGCAAATTTCTAGCCATGGCATAAAACCAGAAGCAGCTTTTTTAAAAAAACCTATTCTAGACATGCTATTGCTAGCCTATAAGAAAAAAACATATGTATATATGTAAAAGTGAATCACTAACCTTCCATTTTTGAAATAATTTCAAAGAAAAACTCATCCTTTTCTAATATTTGTCGGGGCTCGGAAGCGTTTTGTTCCCCCGCCATGACTTCCTCAAAAAAAGCAAGTGAGCAAAGCTTCTTCTTCCTCAAACTGGTCCGCGCGCGCGAATTTTGAGATATATGATTGGTTTAAAAGTATCGATCTTTTAAAAGATTGAAATAATTATCAGTCGTTCTAATCGACTGATATATTTCAATCGAATGGCAAACTGACTCAGCGTTTTTCAATCTAATTTCAATCTTACTATTCGATCGAGTTTTTTTTTTCAAACTTTTGAAAGATTGAAATTTTCAATCTTTTGAATTCAGGGAGTGCTTGTAATTTATTTAGCAAAAACCTGTGAAAATAGCCGCGATTAAAAATCCCAGTTTTTTCCAAAAACGATTCCAACTTTCGCGGCTTAACTCGCCACCACGTCGATCGTCACTCTCGATATTTGACAAATTCTTAGACCAACTTTTTAAGTCATTTTTATTGAAGTAGAATTCTTTCCTATTTACACTAGCCTTTAAACAACTTGGTCTATTAGAACTAATATTTCTGAGACCAAACAAACCAAGTGAAATGCCATGCGTGAGCTTTGTTTTTGGTTTTTAGTTTTCCCGGCAATTATTTTGGCATTTAAATATTTAATCCACGTATTTCCTTCGCGTTATCCTCGCTTGCGTGGAGTTTCGCGCTCGTAATCTAAACAAGAATTCGCTACCAATTCTTTTTTTTTTCAAAAGTTTACTAAGCCCCGTTAATGCTGCTAAGCATTCCGGTTTCATACCGGCGAATTTCGACATTTAACACTTATAACCGTTGGTTAATGATCCAAAGATTGAATCATTAAATATAAATTATAATTAACACAATAAAAAATACACGTTTTGGTTTTGTGGGAGAAGGGGTGTTTTGGGGGGAAGTACTCTGTGTTTATGTCAAACGACATCCCTCCTCATCGTCAGATACCTAATACTGTACTGGACTGATAATGCTAGTCAGGAGTAGCGACCCCCTGACGTATCTGACCAAGAGCACACTTGGACAGTCCCTAACCTGCCCGCTTGGGCAGTCCCTAACCTGTCTAAGGTCCACAGAACCGCTTAGACAGTCCCTATTATTTGAAATATATATTTATATGTGACGTTACTAGAGTCTATGGGAAATGAAGTTGACATATTGGAATACTTCTTCCCCGGAACCCAATGTTTATTTATTTATTACCAGTAAAGGAACCATAACAATTTTTATTATTTACCATATTGTAAAACTTGTGTCCATAGGCACTTTTACACCTCTGATAGTCTTTCACTTTGGAAAGCTTTTATTACCAGCTAAGACCAACCATAACAATAACATTTTTTTTTATTATTATTATTATTTATTTACCATATTATAAAAACTTGTGTCCATAGGCGCTTTTACACCTCTTATAGTCTTTCATTTTGGAAAGCTTTACAGCAGGAAGCCATTGTTTCCTTATAATATGCTAATTATAATGAGATCCTTTTACCAACTACTATGTGGACAAGGTGTTGGAAGCAAACGCAGTAACCAAAGTGCAAGTAAGATGGGGTGGGTGGGTGGGATTTAAACAGTAACATGGAGATCAAAGGTAAATCCTTCAAAAGCTTTGAGCAAATAATGCCAAAAAATTGCGCGTGATGCATAACTTATGCTCCTACTTGCTTTGATTGGCTGTTGGTTTTAGTTGGGATACGTAAAAGCTTTTCATTGGCTAAAAGCGTTTCTTTCAGTAATATTCACTTGAACACAGTGCTGCTTCAAGAAAATAACCTTTGACCCACCAACAATAAACGGAAATGTCGACTTGCACCTTTGTCATGCATGTGTCAATGAGGATAAGCTTGCAAAACACTTGCTTTCAACATGTTGTCTCATTAACTGAATTTAAACATTTTAAATTGGCTTTAATGATCCAAAGATTGAATCATGGAATATAAACTATAATTAACACAATAAAAAACACACGTTTTGGTTTTGTGGGAGAAGGGTTGTTTTGGGGGGAAGTACTCTGTGTTTATGTCAAACGACATCCCTCCTCATCGTCACATACCTAATACTGTACTGGACTGATAATGCTAGTCAGGAGTAGCGACCCCCTGACGTATCTGACCAAGAGCACACTTGGACAGTCCCTAACCTGCCCGCTTGGGCAGTCCCTAACCTGTCTAAGGTCCACAGAACCGCTTAGACAGTCCCTATTATTTGAAATATATATTTATATGTGACGTTACTAGAGTCTATGGGAAATGAAGTTGACATATTGGAATACTTCTTCCCCAAAAACACCCGATAGAGTGTTCCCCATAGACGAAAACGCCCTTCCCCCCCTTTTTTTTTTTTAATTAAATGATGCAGTCATGGTGGCAGATACCTTTGACAGGGTAAAAGATGGAATACGAATGTATCGTTCATAGCAATCGGAAGACCATCGTCCTAGAGTTTTAATGAGCCACGCAAGCAAATTAGCTGAAGCTGCAGTTGTAGCGGCCCCAATTCGGTAGCTATGACCAGCATAGTGTGACGCATTCAAACCTGCTTGGTTTAATAAAATCCGAGTCTCAGCCGTTAAAGTTTGTTTGGTAAGAGGTTTTCCAGAAACATGAACAAAGAGTGGACCACCCGTTGTTTTTCTAACCAAGAGGTACTTCTTCATTGCCAAAACAGGACATAGGGGCGAGTTGGACGCGCCAACTGTGATTGTTTGACCCAAACGGAATGGGTCTGTTTTGGAGACTTTGATTTCCACTGTCATGAATTCGGGGTTGCCTTGACCCACCCCTGGAGCAAAATAAAGGTTTTCAAGCATGAGATGGACCTCGGGGTTGAATTTAGTGTTACATGTCAGTTCGCCTAGACGAAGAAATCCAAAAAAGGCCAAAGTCATGGCCGCCCAAATCATGAGGGACTCGTAATTTTGTGTTGATGGAATGGCAAGCATTAAGTGAAACAATCGCAAGTGATGAATTGTTATTGGTAAACGCACACGGGATTGGTCTCCATGGGAACGTTTTATGCCACGTAAGACCAGCTGCAGTTGTTGCATTTTTGGTAAATTTAGTTGAAGACCTCGGCGCATGTGCAAATGGCGAACAGCTGCCAGATAGGTTTTGATTGAAGCATATTTTATAGATTTGGCAAGAAAAGCCACAAATTCTGTCAAAATGGCTTCTGTTGCTGGTAGGCACTGTTCAAGTGATTGCTGTTTAAACATAGTTACGAAATCAATATAGCGTTTTTCACCAGCACTATAAGTTTGTTTTGTGGATGAAGCAATGGATAAGTTGATGTAATGCTGAATGTCCCCTCTCAGATTATCAACAGTTGGCTGGGAATAGGGCATGGACTGGGATCTGCATGTGGTGCCAGTTTTCTGAATCTCTGCAGCTGAAAACGAGAGATAGAGTCTGCAATTTCATTGCGTTTACCTGGGATATGTTTTGCATGAATGTATAGATTGAATTTCAATGTGACTAGGGTAAGATGGCGTAATAAATCCATCACACGGGGAACCTTTGAACGCTTAGAATTAATTATGTTAACAACCGACTCATTATCGCAATTAAAAATTAATCTTTTGTTGCAGAGAAGGCTTCCCCAAAGCTGACATGCAATTACAATCGCAAATAACTCTTGCCATGCAATACTAATGCCTGGTTTATCTAGCTGGTGGGAAGGTTCCCAAGTGCCCTGGAACCATTTAGTACCAAATATCCCCCCATAACCTAATGTTCCTGATGCATCAGTAAATAGCTGCAAACTGTCAGCATCTTGCCATAACGTTGAGAGGAAAAAATTTGCCCCGTTCCAATTAGTAATGAATTATTTCCACATCGCTAAATCCTTAAAAAATCCCAAATTTAGTTTAATATGGTGGTGGGATTCCTTGACATTTCTGGTTAAGACGATCATCCGCTGCAAGAATGGCCGTCCAGGAGGAACGACTTTGCATGCAAAATTTAGAGTTCCAATTAAGGATTGCAGCTCTTTCAAAGTACAAGATTTTTTAGCTTCAAACTCGGCAAAAATTGTCCTAATGCGATGGATCTTATCTGCAGACAGCCGGGCTTCCATTTTCACTGTATCCAAAATAATGCCCATAAATTCAAGGACTTGTAAGGGGCCCTGAGTTTTCCCTGGAGCGATAGGAATCTTGAGGTCATGAAAAGTAAGAAGCATTTTAGATAAGCTCTGTAAACATGTACTACCATGTGGTATGGAAGGTGCTTTTGGTTCCATGATTAAAAAGTCATCAAGGATATGGCATGCAAAAGAAATCTTGCAGTTATTACGTAAAATCCATTCAACAGCATCGGACAACTGATTAAAAATAAATGGGGCACTCCTAAGGCCAAAGGGGAGAACCTTGTCAAAATAGTACTTACCATCCCAAAACATACCTAATAGCTCATAGTCATCAGGGTGGGCCGGAATAAGCCGAAAGCCTGACTCAACATCAGTTTTGGCAAGGAAACAACCTGGCCCAAAATGTTTAATGCCCTCAATGGTAACATATGGTAACATACTGTAGACTAGCATCAATGGTAACATACTGTAGACTAAAATCATCCTTGCAAATTGCGCTGTTTATGCTGGTCATGCCCGACTTGGGAAACAGAGGTGAAAAATCAAGCGAAATTTTTTAGAATTCTTTTTGGGAACAATGCCAATTGGTGAAACTTGAAGATTACTGAATGGGGGACTGTCAAATGGACCTGCCACCCGGCCAAATTTGCCGAGACAATGCTAGGGTTGCGCCAAATTTGCCGAGACAATGCTAGGGTTGCCAAGCGCTGTAGGCAACTTTTTTGAAAACCATGGGATATGCTGTCCCTGAAAACCAATTCTTGCCCCATACCGTAAAATATTACATACTTGTGACGTAAAATGTGTATCTGGGTGCCCAGTGAGTGCTACTTCTAAATTATCTACAGATATAGGTGTCTGTAGCGACAAAATTATCTTACTGATGCTTTGATTTGCTGGATTTGTGACTACTCGTTGAGGCGTGGTTGCTATTGCTTGAGGGTCTTTCACCGCATTTATATCCTGGGTGAGGACCTGCGCATCGGTTGCAGGCGTGGCTGTATCGACATGGGTTGTAGATGCATGTCCCATTTCGGTTGAATTCGCGGCAAATGGCTGTACCCCGTTTTGCGCCCCCTGAGGAATTGATATTTTGGGGTCCATTGGAAAAAAGGGGGTATTCTCGTTTTAGATTCTCAGGTGATGTAGTGAAAATCAATAACCACAACTGTTGGTCAATCTCAGACCACTTTAGAAGAGGGTTTAAGGCAGCTTTTCTGCGAAATTTGTGGTCGTAGACGTACCACCCAAGCTCTCGGTGTGTTTGTGCTGCGTGACGAATCAGTGACAGATACTGGAGTAAATCTTGAGATCTGGTGGGAAACTTGTGCGTAAGGACGCTCATATAACTCGTAAACGCAGTCGTCCATTGTTCGATGCTAGTGACTTTTTAACTTTAAGGACTGAATTTTCTAACGTAAAGACGACTGGCTCGTCATCGGCGGCAGTGGGAAAGCTACTGGGTAAAAGTTTTGACAAGTCAAAAAACTCACCAGACTGAATCTGTTTCACGTAGGAAGCTGGGATATCATGCGCGCCGTGTCCATACGGGGTGGCTGGTTCCGCTTCAGCAAACTGTGTTAAATCAACTGTGCCAGACGCATCCGCAGAAGGTTAATTTGCCACATTCTAGCGCGAAATCGAATGTCAGGTTTGCCAGTATTTCCTTTAGGATTTCCGTACACTTCTTGTGGATTGTTGTTTGACAGCATCGGGTTTTCTTCAATTCTTGTCCGGTGATTTTGTTTTGTAGACACAGATAACAGAGTTCCTTGTCCGGGAATGGTGCTCTGCAGTACCCGCACCGTACGGTTTCGATATCTGTTCCGTTGTAATGTGTCGCCCACATCTGGAGACACCGACAGTGGGCTTTTTGTTGGCAGCAATGCATTGTCATCGCCAGTAACTCGTTTCCATTAATTTGTTCGAAACAGAAATAGCACTGTCCCGGTTCTGCTGTATTTTCTGCCAGGATTCCAAATAGAGGTATGTTTGCTGGCTGTATGACATCTTCCAGCGCTGGTAGAACTCCTATGCATTCCATTTCGGTGTGTGGTTGATGATTATGGGGAAGTGTATTTATACTAGAGGTGTACGTACGCGTACAGGGTGTACGTACGCGGTGTATGTACACCCCGTACATATACTATGTATGTACATGGTGTACGTACACGGTGTACGTACGCCCCTGGACTACGTCATGATTATGCTTGTCTCTGATTGGTAGCTGTCTTGGATGAAGTATATAAATAGAGGGACGAGCGATTTTTGTTTTTGTGTTTATAGTTTTTGTGAAGAGATGAAGTGCTTGCATGGCGAACCCGCTGCTCATTCGACAACTCAAAATGGTTCCTTCTGGTTTTGCAATCAGAATCCTAGCTGCAATTTCTTTTGCTGCGAGGATGAGGGCTATTTGTATGAAAAGGCTATAACTGCATGGAGAGCTACGAAACAGCCTCATCCTCGGTGTGGTGGATATGGTAAGCTTGCGAGAATGCGGGTTGTTAGAAATTTGATGAAAGCAAGTTATGGGAGACCGTTTTTTGTGTGTTCCAACAAGCTGAAGCCGTGTTCATTTTGTGTATGTGGCGATGTACAACCTTAAGTCAAACCGGAGTGTCACCACGGGCTTTCGTGTATGGTCCGTAAGGTGAAAAAGGAAGGTCTCAATGAAGATCGAAAGTTCTTCTGCTGTCCAAATGACAAGGAATCTTCATGCAGGTACTTTGATTGGGTGCCTGAGGAGCCTCGTCAAGATGTTAGTTTTGTGGAACCCAATTCAAGTAAACCACCCAAAAAGCACGAGGAACATTACCTGACAAAGAAATTCATAAACGATTTTGCTAATAGTTTGAACATTTAATATGTGTTATTTTCAAAACTGTTATAAAGATTAGTGTTAATAAAAATGTTTATTCGAAATTGTTTTAAGATTACTTTAAAAGTCAAAATTCATGTTGTCTATAAAGTCTAGGCTGTTTGGATCGTTTAAAAAATCCAGGTCAGCATTACTGATTATCGGTAATCCCAGCGACTGTTGTCTGCTTTCCTGGGTCCTCTGCTCTGTTTCTCGAGTGGTCTCCTGGTTTTGCCTGCCTTCATAGAAGGCAAGAAATTCGCCGAGGAATGCCGGATTCCTTTGTTCAGCATATCCCCAGAATGCCTCTAGCCTTTTTGTCTTGTTTTTTTTTTATCAAGGCGTATTTTTCGTTGCCTTTCTGCCTCTTTTTTCTTGTCTTTTCCCATAGTTTTTCAAATTCTTATTGTCGACTTGTTGTTGTTGTTGGCAGGATTCCCCTCCGTTTTGTGTTTCCGCTTGTTTGTTTGCTGCTTCCACTTTTGGAAAATGAGCGTTGCGCAATTATTAGTAATAGTTACCAATGAACATTGCGCAATATTTATTTGTGTTTAGCACGCTTATTAATTATTAATTAATGATTAATCACCCTGATTAATTTCGGCCTCTGTCTTCCCACGCTTTCTGCATATTTCAGATTATTGTTGTGGCTACAGGAAAATTATAATGCATAGTATCGTGATTCTCACGCTTTTGCATAGTTTTCAGATTGTTCTGGTTACAGGAAAATTAGCGTTTCATTGTAGTACGGTAGTTTATTTAGGTTAACAAACATTGTCGTGTATAAAGGACGAAGTTTATGATAGTGAGATAGTCTGACTTTATAACAGCCTGGGCTAAGCTGGTCAGTATAAAGATGTTTTTCTTGGCGTTAAGTTTACTGGTAGTATTTGTGAATTGCAGTGTGGAAACGTGTATCGAGGAACCTCTCGTGGGTTTATTAGATTGTCATGACCTATCGTTGAAAACTATCGACGGAATGTTTACAAAACGGCAGCTTTGGGTCAGGGTGGTTGATTTCGTCAGGAATGAGTCATCATGCTTTGAATAGGGATGATGGCGCCTATTTGCCAGAAGAATATATGCATCTCCTTGGCAGGTGACGTCATCCCTTGGGTATTTAAGAAGCCACGATTGCAGTTTTAGATCACCCCTGATGAAGACACTAGACTGGAGTGTCGAAACGTTGGGTCTTGATTACAATTCGACTGGGCTTTGTAATCATTTATTTAAACCAGAGTAGCGAGCGAAACATGAATGATTTAACTGTTGTCAATATCACAGAACTTTTGCTGGTATTTCCCAACCTGAAACTTATTGACCTTCGTTGGAACCCGGCTTTTGACTGTGCGATCGTTCAGGATTCAGGGGTACGCGTTAGGAGCGATTGTGTTTTCCTATCTTTTTCTCGACACAGTAGTTCGGTGTTTGGCACGTTCTGTACGGTATCCCGTTCTGTTTTTGCTGTCTCCGTAGGGACATCGTCAGTGAATAGACAACTGAACAGTTCGGCATCCCTTTTAGAGCTGCGGTCTTCGGCAACTCCGCCTTTTTCCGGACACGGTAGTTTGGTATATGACGCATCTTTTACGGTATCCCGTTCTGTTTTTGCTGTCTCCGTAGGGACATCGTCAGTGAATAGACAACCGAACAGTCCGGCATCCCGTTTAGAGCTGCGGTCTTCGGCAACTCCATCTTTCTCTGGACACAGTAGTTCGGTATTTGGTACACCTTCAGCGCTGGTTACAAAGGCGCCTACATTCGTAACAACCGTAAGGGCGTCGTCAGTGGCTGGACACCTGGATAATCCGGCATCCAGGGGACTGGAGCTATTTTTATTGTACGTCACATTGGGTCCGTTATTGGGATTTTTGCTTCTATTGTGTTTGTGCGGAAGCTATCTGCTGTATAAACGATGGCTGGCAAGGCGTCGTAACAGAAGGGTAGCAATGCATCAGCATCCCTCTGAAATAGAACTAATAGGCTTAGGACGCTTAGAACGGGGTAACGGGAGCACGGAAGTATCGCTCGACACTTCGCTATGATTATAAGAAAGCACACATTTAAATTTGTTTTGTTTTGAAATTACGTTAGCTCTAGTAGATCTTATAGTATCGTAGGAATTACATGTAATAACTGTCGATTTAGTCCATATAAGACTAGAACGAACGGTACGAAAATAGTAATATGTACAAGTAGTTTTGTTAACGTGAAAGGAAATGTTTTGACACTTGATAATTCATAATAAAGCACACGTTTCATGTACAGGCTATCGGTTTTCTCCATCATGAGATTTCAGTACACATGTACACATGATAGAATAGAAGTCTCATTAGCCGTTCTGGCGGTTTATTTACTGAACTTGTCAGTTTTGCATGATATGATAAATCGACAGGAAGTCATCGTGTGCGTTTTGACAGGCGCTACAATCTCGTTCCCAGAGCATGCCCGTTTGCGGGTATGCTCTGGGAATGGGGCCTGACACGCTAATGAGATTTCTGCTAATTTAAACTATGCAGTTAATCAGTTTGTTTACATTTTGAACTGTTATATTTTTAAATATGATGTACTGTCTGAGTATTCATCACTATTCTGGATCGCTGTGCTTCAAAGCGTATTTGTCTGGAAAGAATTCGAATTCGGGCAATGTTTACAATGACTTTAGAATCCTATTACAAACAAAATATTAATATTAAGCACACGGGCTGGAAGTTATAAGCTGCTTTCACTCTCACTGTCAATGTCAGATGAGGCAATTGAAAATAGTTTTTCCATGCGGATGCTGTTGGAAGGGCGACGGCGACGCTTTGTTAGGCAAGCAGGCAGGAGACAGACGAGAACAATACAAACGACGGTACACACAGGAATGACTATAAATAAATACAGGTTGGACTTCCCGTTGCCGGAAGTAGCTGTTGTGGATATGTTGGCCATAGGGAAAGCTGTGATAGTGATGGGGGAGTACTCTGTAGAACCATTTATTTGCGCTGTAGGCAAAGATATTGTAGCTGGAGAGAATGTGACCGACGAGATTGTGGGCGGACCGTCGCTAAGGATTTCTACTACGGTCGCAGGAGGGCACTTTAAGGGATTGTCCCTTAGGTCTAACCGGACGAGATTTGGAAACAACACCAGAAGCTCCGTCGTGTTCAGTACCGTGAAGTTGTTGTGGCTGAAATCGGCTGCCCACACCCATGACATTACCTTGCTGTACGGTATATGGTCCAAGTTCCCTCCAGAGCAGTCCAACTTCCAAATTTCTGAGTATTCCAGGCAAAATGGTGCACCCATCCAGGGCATAACCGTGAGGAAAAAGAGGAAGGAAACAGACTTTCTGACAACCATGTTGCTGACATTAACTTTGACGTTGACAAAATAGTTAAAGCTTTATTTTGTATTTTTCGTGGGGACACGTACCTGCCACGTGTAATTTAGTAGATTCTAGGAACTTACAATATACTTTGGACCGCACTGGGCACTAGACACTGTTTAATTTAGTATAAATAAATCCTGTTGCTTGTTTTGTATTTATTCGTTGTTTTACTGTTAAGGGAAAAGGATGGATTGGATTTTAGACGAATTGCGGAAAAGCAATATCGGAATTGATATGAAAACTTTATCGTATCATATCAATTATTTAATTAAACATCATGATCAGGAGTACGGACATATGGTGGCATATGTAAATCGTGACAATATATCAAGGGTTTTTACTGAAATAAACGTTATTAATTTTGGTCGTGCTATGGCCTACTTATTAGTTTATTTATTGAAGGAGTCCGAGGAGGTGATGCGCGAGGCTGTTCGTTTAGTGGCCACGCCTTTAAAGAACATAAACTTTTCAGCGTTTAAGATTGAAGAGGGCTTTTTTCATAGATTTAAATCTTATATCGGACGCGTTTTTAAGAATGAACCAATTAGATAATAGTACGGGTTGTAGGTGGAATATAATTGAACAATAAAGATAGTGTTAAAACGGTACGGGTGTATAGCGTGAGTTTATTTTCTGTCTTGTCACCATGGACGTAAGATTTAAGACACCGGCGAATTTTTATTTTTCGGGGCAGACGCAATCGGGCAAGTCATATATGGTTCGCTGCATGCTAAATCATTTGGAAGAAATGTTCCATCCTCTTCCAACCAAAATTATTTACTGTTACGGGGAGTATCAAAAGGAATTTGATGAATTCCTTCCGAATGTTGAATTGATAGAAGGATTTTCCGAGCGATGTGAATGAACTAACAAGGGGACATATGACCATTCTCTAATCGTGTTGGACGATCTAATGTCCCAGTGTTCCAATGATCCACGTGTCGCAGATTTGTTTACTCGCGGTTCGCATCATCGCGGAATATCTGTATTGTACTTGACACAAAATCTATTTCCACCGGGTACATTATCCCGTACCATAAGTTTGAATTCTCATTACATGCTAATATTGGAATGCTAGCCCAATGCTCTGCCAACTGAGCTATGCGGTCTGGTCGGTACGAGTATGTGATATTTCGGAACAGAATCTAGTTCCTTCGATATCAATGTAATCTAATAATCATGATTTTTTCTGTGATTGTGCAAACACTCAGAGTAACATCACAAGCATCATATTCACCTGAGTACATTGCACAATCACAGAAAAAATATCGGATCTGGTTAGCGATGCTATGAGGTGGAGAAAGAACTTCAATCCTGCGGGTTCGAAGGAGTTTTTTCAAGCATTATCTAAATTGAATGTGCCTAAGAACCTTGTTAGAAATCAGGAGCGATGGAAACAAGTGAATGATACGCCAGTCGCAAGGGAATTTATATTCATTTACAATTGCGAACCAGAAAAGTGTTAGATATTCAGTTAGTATGTCTTATTTTACAAATATAGAAGTCCAAAATGTAAACAAAGGATTTGTTTACATTACGGACTTGACATGGTCTTTAATTAATGTATTATTGAATAACTATGTAAGACATGTTTGGCGCTTCTTACATTGTGAAATGTTTTCATCTTTGAGCCCAGGTTTTTATAAATGCAATAAAATCCCACTTATTGGATCCTGGCCAAGGGCCTACGCTCAAAACGAGAGTGCATATATTCTCCAATAAGATGCCCTGGTTTCTGTCTGGTAAAATTCTACTATATATTAAAGTGTGACATAAGTTGGTATATCCAGCGTCATCAAGTTCGAATAATAGGTCATCTCCATTGTCATCATCTGACAAATCATTCTCATCTGTATTCTGGTCCGGAGAATAGTAATGCAGGTCTAGTGCAATCACAACAGGAACAAAGACCAGTACACTTCAATTATGCTTTTTCACAGACGCAATGTTTTGTTGACGTCTTTTAGTTAATACAAATCGATCATGCATCATATCAACGGTGCATATGAAAAATTGCACTCCAACCAGTTATGTCACCCCAAGTTTGGTTGGGAAGTAAACTAATGGCAAGTCAATATGAGATGGATGACCATGCCGGCAGCTCCTGACGGAATTCTGGAAACATTAACTGTGGTTGTAAGTCTGGATGTTCGACAACCTCATACCCGGGGTTCTCTTTGTGCTGGCCCTGGTAAGAGGTTGGATGTTCAATAAAAGACATTGTGCCTGTCAAAAAGGGGAATTGAAGTGCACTGGTCTTTCTTCCTGTTGCGAGTGCACAAATATTCCCTACGACAATACAGACAAGAACAATTTGTCAGATGATGACAATGATGGTGGCCTATTATTCGAACTTGATGATGATGACACTGGATTTGATGGCATATTTGAAAAATGAAGAACAATGATGGTATTGCACGTAGGTATTATCTGCGCAGTGCAGTAGATCAATATTTATTTACTTATTCGATATTCTCATTTGGATACACAGTAGTTATATTATAAACAAGTATATCCCTTTCGTGGATAGTTTTGACAGTATGGTCATGGCTGAGAAGGTGAAACGCACCCTGGTGGGGGGAGCTCAAACGCACCCTGCCCCTGGCGCAGTAGCAAATCTAATGCCTGGTCCTAACTTGTGACTTAAGCAATTAGCAAGCGGAACCTTTGACGTGCATAAGCATAAGACGCATAAAACGTTAGTAAGAGAATTTGAGGTAAAGAAACACCATGGCTTTCTTTAACTGAACCAAATTGTCTAAAATTTTGTACAGTAATTAAAAACCCAATTTCTGTAACAATTTCGAAGCTTTGGTCTTTTTTTGTGCTGAAACAATTGCAAGCCTTGTTTAAGGCCCTGTCACACTATTGCGTTTGAGAGAGACGTATGAGAAGCGTAAGAAAATGAATGAAATAATTTTCATACACACAAAAATCCTTTGAAATGCCAGCGTATGAGTACCGTACATCTGGCGTACCTCTAGCGTATTCAGCGTGTGCCTAGAGTATGCTTATCGTATAAAGCATACGTCCAATAAACACAAAATTTTTTAACATGCTTAAAAAAATTTTATGCCACCGTACGCGTCCATGCTTGAAACATATACAACCTATGCCTAACATATCCCGAGCGCATGTCAGCGTATACCGGCATACAAGCAATATTTTTCATACGCTGGCATACGCTAGTACAATATGCAATAGTGTGACAGGGCCTTTATTTTGGTTGAAAAATATTTGAAGCTTTGGTTATGTTAGTCCATCAATGGCCCCGCAACACATTGGAAAATTCCATAGATTCCAAAATTCTTCATCTATTTTTCTCCATTTGATTGTGGTAGGAAGCTTCATATAATATTGTAATGCTGTCCATAGAGCGCAACATATCTCTCCTACTATTTTGCAAACCGTAGTGTGTCCAACGCGGAAACTGAACGATATCATAAGTTGAGAATCTCCGGTACTGAGAAATCGTAGTGTTGAAGAAAGACATTGACTCACACTAATAGGTTCTCTATAAAGGGAACTTTTTTTCAACATAGGCCCAATGAGGGAAAGAAGATGGTCAAATCTTTCAGGGGTCATTCGAAAATATCGAAAAAATTATTTGTGATCCGATAGCCGCATCTCTATTATAAGCCGGTTGTATTCTCAGAGTTGATTGCGCCTACGAATAATTTCACGAACCCACCATCTCTTCTTGTACTTGTTTAGTTGTTTTAACTTATTTTGAAAATAAAGAAGTAGAACAAATTCCATTGTAATGGTGTCCATCTTGATTTTTTAAACTTCCCGCATTACCGTATGTTACGTACAACGTTGACGGAAATATATGCCGAAGTGGAAATTTAATTACATAAGTATTTTCGTGTACGTAATACGTACGTACAAAAAAAATGCAACAGTGGAAATCAGCCTTAAGGGTAGAGGTATGGTGCTTGATACGGGGTAGCCTTGGTAATTAAAGGCATAAGCCCTTGCTCAAGCAGCATATCAAGATATTCAGATGTTTGGTTATCGCTATTGTATTTTAAAAAATCTATATTTATGTCTCCTAATATGATTACTTCTCGACCCTAATAATTGTTTAATTTAATCATCGTGTCTTTGAGCATATCCTAAAATTGAGCACGATCATGAGAAGGGTGGCGATAAATGCAACCGATTACAATATTTTACCCTTTTGCGGGTGATTTCAATCCAACAAGATTGAACGCCATCAGCTATTAACTCTAAGTTACGTCGTCTATTGAATTCTAGTTCATTAGCAATGTAAAATCCAACTCCCCCAACGGATGTTTTGGAGTTTGTATTTATAACTACATATCCAGGTATGCTAATGTTGCCTACTGTTTTCTGTTAGTTTTGTTTCTGTAATGGCGATTATATCTGGAATTTCTTTAACAAAATAAAGTAGATCTTTTAGCAAAGGCAAATTTTTTGAGAGGCTACGCATGTTAAAATGCGCCATTGAAAACCCATGTTGTTTTTTTGCTTTATTAAAGAGATTTCCAGTTTGCATAGAATGGTAATTCGTCAAGGAAATTTTAGTCTAAAGCCATATCTAAAGTGTACTAGATTTACAATTGAATTAGTCTGTTAAATGTTAGTCTCCTATGCAGCCTGTTCGCGGGTCCGAGGTTTTCTCCCCACTAACAGGGCTGCTTACTGCAACAACACATTCCATTCCCATTGTTTCAACTTGACCAATCAGGAAACAGCATGACGTAGGTTTCCCGCCAGATTCAGTAGTAATATTCATTGCTAAATACATCTCGGTGTTTACTGCTGTTAAAAATATATTACACGCATGCTTTAAATAATCAACTTGTTTATATCACTGATCTAATAGTAGACTGGATATAGCTTCTCTGGGTGTAAAAAGTGAAGCCAAATTATATATGCGAAAATCACTTCCAGGGACCACAGAGTGATACAAATTACTATAGAAATGTATGGCGAACAATGTGAA